GATAACAAATTTTGACGTGAGAATACTGTATCTTAATAAGATAGCTGCACTCGACAGACGAAGTTTTTCATTATACCTGTCAATCTGACATACAGCCGTGAACGTATAGAGAAAAACTAAGAAGACAAACAAACAAACAAACAAACAAGCAAAGAAAATGGACACTGTAACAGAACCGGTAACCCAAGGATAGTGTCTGTAAATCAGCTCTGTTGTAAACGCATCCCTTCCAAAAATGCGTCTATTACTGGGTAGCACTGAGCAAGATAAAGATAAAAGCAGCCAGTCTCCCCCTATCTAGGTGAAGCATGTCATCCAGGCGCCACCGTTATTAGACATTCTTTCTCGCCCTTCAGAGACAGTTAACACGACATCGAGCATTTTACCAAGGCTACATGTATGTCCAAGCAGATATTAGGGGTGGAGGAAAATATATTATGACTGCCTCCCTTGTGTTAAACAGAAACGCATATATTGCTAGGAAACCGTCACGAATTTGCCATCCTACATCTGCTTGAACTCAAGTTGAATATATCTGCTTGAACTCAAGTTGAAGATGAAAGACTTACCTTTCTGTCAGTGGCGCCAGCTCTCCCTCGTGCGATCTCCCGCGTGTCCTGGCCCGCATGTTGGCGGGACGGCGCGCCTGCCTTCCCCGCCGGAAATCGGAGCGCCTCCCGCCGCTTCCCTGCCTCCTCCCCGGCGGTGTCATCATCCAGGCCCGGCCCCACCAACACTCGTCGGTCCAAGAACGTTGCCAAGAGCGTTGCCATGAGAACCAAGAAGAAGAAAAGGAATAGACAGCGGCGGGTTCTGCCCCATCCCGACATCACGCCATGTCAGTGGTCTGGAAAAGGTACAGGTGAGGAGATCAGACGGCAGGACTGACTAGCGACCTTTACCTGGCAGTCCTCATGGCGGGAACTGAGCGATACTGCTGGTCGCTACTATTTTTTCATGGGGGTGTTTTAAAGGCGTAAATATGCGGACTCGGCGTGCACTAGTGCTCCCTACAAAGTTCTTAGTTATACGTATAGTATTTTTCTGGCCCGTCCTCATTTGAGACGATTTTGGAATTATTTTTGTGAGTCCATCTTCTGCGTTTCTTCGGCAATTTTCACTAACGCTTCATACACTGTGAATCGAAAGATACACAAATTGTACAACGTATAAAACACCTCAAAGACGCAGTACTACAAGAACAATTTCAAACTTCTAGGAAGTATACAACCCTTGGCTTCCTAAATTCCCCATATCCCCACCAGATTCTGAAACCTTTGACGTCCTGTCATTCTGCCTGTCGCTGTTCCCTACCCATGTGCTGTCAACCTACTCGGTCCTGACAAACAGATACACAAGCCCACAGCTCAGCCAGCCAGACCAATACTTCCATACCCAGACGTTTACAGTAGCAACTGGAAAGCAATGTTTCTTGCGCTCGAAAATAAAGATCATCCCCTGGCTACACAAGAAAACCGTCACTATTAATTAACTGTGTAGACTTTTGAACCCTCAGGCTTTGTATTGACAGGTGCATCTATCTGTCCCCAGCCTCCCCTCCCACTGTACAACAGTACGAGGCCTTGGCCCCGCAGGTGAACCGAAGATAAACATCAGAAAATCACAGGCGTAAACAGATCGTGCTGCGGGCATGTTTACGGTTGACCCCGCACAAAATGTAATCCTCCCAACAGAGCCGGCTAATACCTCAGGACTGGCTCCACGTTTCATGATTGCTTGCAAATTGGCAGAGCGTGGCCCTGCTACTACTACAGATCTTTGTAACAACAGTTTCCCGGGAACTTGGATGAAATCCAGCGTCTAAAATCTGACGGCACTACTACAAGAAATCCAATCATTTAGCACGCGCGTAAATGTTCACCAGATGCAGAGTGAAGAAAATGAATCTTTACGCTTGATTTAAGATTTGGTGCAGTGACTGTCTCCGTAGGTAGATCCTTTATATTTACACTAGAGGCTGTGATGTCTGAGCGAACGAAAAGTTTCTACAAAAAGAGCGAATTTTTCATGTTTTACATGTTTTGTTGTCACGTCGTGTATCATATGACATATTCCAATTCCTGGCTTTGCTATACAACTTCAAAGGGGATATTCTTGAGACAATATCGTACGAAATTCAGCTTCTTGTAACCGAAAAGATTCTCGTAGAACCTTGCCGGTACGCAACAACCTCACTGAAAATCTCAGGGCAAAAAATCGTGTGACTGCGTCTTTGCATATTCATATATATATATAAGTTGCGCGTCAGAGTTCACAGGGTTCAGCAAGTTGATTATCACTGAATTGATACAAAGTCATTTCTGACCAGTTCGGAATTGCCACTACGCATAGATCTATATTTTCATTTAAATGTCGTATTGTTGTCACCGGGATGACCCTACCTGTTGTAGGTTACGTGCACAGAATAAAAGGAACAGAATGCATCACAGCATGCGGTCACTACATTGCATGTATACCTTCGTTACAGTACTTTGCAGGTTCCTGTTTAACCTGTTGCTAGGTAGGTAGGTTCCTGGTTTTATATAATGTTATCTGTTACTTTGAAAAAAAACACACAAATAATGTGTTTGAGAGATCTCTAGTGCAGCACCCCTAGTGCCAGGTATGCACAGTTTAGATATGCAAGAGTACATTACACTGCATTGGAAATCTCTCTTTCAAGGTGGCGGATAACGTTATACGTAACGCGTTGGAATGATATTAGCAGACGTTTCAAGGATTCAGTCAGCATATTGGCTCTGAGGCGAGCCTCAACAATTAATCAGTCGATCCGTAAAATCTCTAAAAGAACTATTCGATGTGTTAGCAGCCGAAACACGATCGGTTCAGTTTAATACATTCTAGTGACGTTAGTATAGTCGGGCAGGTAAGTTGATATGGCCATGGCGGTGTGTTCAGCCTCAGTCCAAATATCACGGACATTTTAAAAGCGCAACAGGTCACAGCATTTCTAGAAAGGGCCAGCAGAAATGTCGGATTGTGTTAAAGACAACATTGCACTTGACGAGCTGGTTTTTGTCATGAAATCCTCTCACACGTTGTTTCTGTCATGATATAAGCACATTGTGACGGACACGCCCATACACAGGGATGTGCCAGCTTTGAGATTTTTACATGTACCTACCGATTTTAGTAGAGACGGTCGTTCTGATGTTGCCTTGTCCAGGACAGCGGTTGAATACATCCGCCACCTGTAAACCTGACCGATCACGCGCCAGCTAGCTATAACCTGCACAAAGCACACAAGGGGAACGTCAGGAAATCTGTGCGGCATGTAAATTGTAACTAGGAATCCACGTGAACCGTAGCATGCAAGTGGTCGCTGGAACAGGTTTTTCTTCGGAATAGTCCATCTCAAAACGGGAGGGTTGTGCATTTTCGCCAAACGATCGGTATAGAAAACATGATACACTGATGGTAATGAACTATAGAACATCGAAGAGAATTGACATTTATAAGAGTGCAGTGAAATTGAACGCTGAAATATCGATATTCAGAGGGAAAATATAAGACTACAAAACAGGCATGGATATGCACAGGTATCATGGCATAGCCTCAAGCCATATTGGACTGCTGCACTGTTACAATGGCAGAAACCCAAGGCCACGCACAGCACAAGTGTGTGTGTGTAACAAACAATACAGCCTTTAGACCAGCACTCAACAGACCGTTCAACCAACCATCCCGTAAGCCCACTCAAGTGCACGGTCTATGGTTCAATGATTCTGAGGTTCTTCAGAAAGAAAACTAAAGCAGCATTTGTATTATATGTAGTATGGCTTTCGTGCTGAATTTACTACAGAATGTTTAGACTTATTTTTCAATGATGCCCAACCCCACGTATATAACTTGCTACATAATGTCATATCATTTGTGGCTTCAGGACAACCCGGGTTACTTGTTTTCCCTCATTATTGATCATTATTGTTCACAAGTAGCGTTGACCTCTTATGTCTTTCAACTTGACCTAGAACCCGGCACTACTACTAGCGAAGTTACGATGGATTGCCAGCTAGCTATAGAGGTAGGACTACGATGACTACTTCATACACAGACTTCCCTTTCACCATGGATTTAGAGTGGTGACCGGACCCCACCACCCCCAAACACAGCTGCCCGTGTAACAGCACAGAATACACCCTGACTCTAATGTACCCGGGTATAGTCGGGGGTACACTTTGGGATGTTACATTGGAAACCTACGGGATATTACCTAGGCTATGCTAGCTTTAAAGGAATTAGATGAAATTGCTAAGATTTGGGGAGGATATGTCACACTTGACTTTGATTCAACACAACATAAAGTCAACCAACCGAATTTTCGACTAGACTAAAGGTAACATTTGCAAAGCAAATGCATAATGTTTACCTTCACACTGTATAGCCCAACGAAGTCTACTGCTCTGTTTATTCTTACTCAAAGGCATTCATCTATATGGTGACCAGCCCCTGAAACTATTCTTCAACTTGCTACATAATTTGATCCAACACCACAGGGTGTCTGCTACAGCGTCTCTCTATGGTGACAGACGTCTGACTCAGATCGTTGATCTTTTTTGTTTGAAAACAAGGAGAATTAAAAAAAGAAAGAGGAAAGAACAATATGTTTCCTTCTCCGAAGGAATACATGAATATTTAACCACGGCATTGACGTTATTTCGTTCTGTATCCCTGCTGCTTGTCTCTAGATCAGCAATTACAGTATCGTTCTACCTCCAGGCGGGTAAAACTGTTATCTGTCTTCATTTTCACCCAGAAGCGTCAGGCAGGATTCACAAATCAATACGTTTTTCCCAGGTCCGGAGGGAGACAATTTTATGTCATAAATCAAAACTAATTAGCCTATAACATATGGCGAGGGAAAGTAAGCCTTGGGCTGTTTTCGGATGCCAAATTAATGAAGAAATCTTATGTCGAAAACCAGCGAAATGTTATGTGGGGTAAAGATATCGTCGGCAACTGGAAAAATTCAGATGCAACGTTGACCAAGCATCCAACGAAATCCTAAAAAAACGGGTTTAGTGCAGGCGCAATACGTTCTGCCGACGTGCTCCAGCAAGTAAGGTACAGTATGTAAAGTGTCGCTCTTGATCAAATAAAAGCCATTATCAACCGTTATCTGGGTTAATAACGCCCACTTATCCCCATTTCTGCCAATCAGGCCATGTTGATTTGATTACATGGATGACATCCTCGCGCGCATTTGTTTCCAAAAAAATGTTTTCGACCAAATTGTAAATCGTACAAAATAAGCAAATGTATGTCGCATGTTGCATGCACAAAAAGTATTGGAAAACGATACGTAATGTTATAGAATGCTGAAATCAATTCAGGAAAAAAAATGTGAAGAAGTGGAAATGGTCTATTATCATTCGTCATACCATACTTTGTGTGTTTAGTCATTTGTTCAACCTTTATGACCACGTAGATTTCATTATTAAGGAAACTTTTATTTTCCAAACTTTTTTATTCACACGCTCGCATCAGTTTTGGGGTTCTATATTACACCGTACGACCTGTTACACCTAACTTTTGCACATCTAACTGTGAACGTTGTTTAAAGCTATCAATTGAGGATACACCTATGTGTACTTGGTGAAAGTTCCACTCTACGGTAGTTCTAGGGGGAAACGAGTTTTAGAGCACCTCAATCCTTGATTGATAACTTTTGTACTCGCTGAAGGCATAACTATTTCTTGTTCTTTTCTGAGCTGGTCTTAGATGTCATCATACACAGTGATGGACATTTTTCGTCTATCTTCCAGTGACACCTACAGTACGCTTTTCAAATTGACAACAGGCCTACAGCTAGTCTCCACAAGACACACGACTAGGCTGCACAAAAAACTGTTAACATTTAATTTACTAGCGAAGGCTGGTCACCATAGAGTTCCTCCAAGGGGAATTGTTACACTTTAACGCGGCTCACTCCCCTGGACAATGATTGGCCCTATTTTGACGAATTCTATAGATCTACTATCCTACAACCCCCTTATCGGAACTCTGGAAGGCCTGGTGGAGGCTAACCTACATACTGTACAGTAGTCGCAGATGTGTCCGTATGTCAGTGAGAGGTTATGGACGATCTGACAGCTTTAGTGCCAACTGAGATTAAGATCACCCCCCAAGAAATGATCCAATCTTTAAACACAGTTTAAAGCATGCGTAATGTTCGCTAGAGTGAAGATGTTCACTGGACTGAAAAGTTCACTAGAATCAAGAAGGTTATAGAATTAACGTTTACAAATGCTAGAATGCCATGCAGCCATCACTCTCCGGATCTGCACCTGAGACCCCGGAGGTCAGCAGCTCCCTAACGAAGTCTGGAGAAAAGACCATCATCTCCCACAGATCGATGCCGTGGTTTCTCCAGGGGCGGTGGGCTATAGATTTACGGACAGGCGTCGATAGGTCTGACCGTCGGTGCGAATTAAGATTTAACGTCTGAGAATGAAGTCTCCCACACTGCGGTAACTCAGGATCAATGGGAGGCCAGATATACAGGTATTCACGCAACAGTGTACTGTAAGGAAGGCCACACTCAATGTATTTCTCCGGGTTGTCGGACGTTTCTGTTTACCCTTTTCTTTGAGGCGCAGTTAATCGCAGGCAATAACTTTATGGTCGCTTTAATCGTTGAAGGTCGTACGTTGAATCTTATCCTGAATTCTTCGTTAAGCGTGGTAGAACGTCAGACTACCCCCAAAATCATAACGGAGTAGTTTTACCAGACACCCCCCCCCCACACACACACACAAAATAATAATAATAAAATACCAAAGTAGTGACTTAACTGCTTTTTCGTAGAAAAAAAGCATCCCAAAGAAGTTGCTTCCTAAGCCTTATACAAGACAACTGAATCTACCGGTAAGCGTTGCCGGTTTGCCTGAATTTACAGTTTCCGGCCCCTCCTAAATTCATCGTTAAGCGTTACCAAGCTCAAGATACCCCCTGCAGACCCCCAAAAATCAAATGAGGGGACAAGATACAGCGGAGGACTAGGAGACGAGGGAAAACTAATTCAACCTGACTATATCCACTGCTTGAAACTACACGTGTATTTTTGGCACAAAAGACGGGGGCCGCTACAGATTGTCGGGCACCGCTTACCCGTTGCTGACGTCACAATCGCACGTGGCGTGTGACGTCAGCAACGGGAAGGACCAGACCAAAAGCTTGTTGGTAAGACCTTTACCCTTTACGGTCTTCTATCGTCTCAAGTCTCCATAATGTCATTTACCGTCACAGATGAACTTTCATTCGATTATCGTTTCTTTGTTGTAATCCGAGGAGTTTAATTAACTGGCAGTGGCCTGAGGCGGTGACTGCTGGTGCGGCACGGTGCTGGCGAACAGCCAGAGGTAGGAAATTCCCCGGCTACATCCCGACCCAGAGATCATCCTCTCCGCGACGATAACATCAACCATACAACAAAGATTGTGTAGCCCAAACATTCCCGGCGTTCGGTGCGTGACAGCGTGCCCGCTCCCCGGTCCCTGTCCTGACGTATTGGACGTGACAGTTCCACGGTTTCCGCGGCCGCGGGTCGCCGGGTCGGGTCGCGACAACATGTCTAGCCTCTACCAGGCTTCAGAGGTGGCTGGAAAGAGTTAAGATTCACCAAATAGTAATAGACAGATAACATACCAGGCAAACTGTACTCCTTTTCAAATGAGCGGACGAACACTCCTGGCATGTTATATGTCTAATATATATTTGCCCAATCATGTCCTACTACTCTTAAATTTCGACCGTCTCTGACTGAAGCCTGATAGAGGCTACTGCTAGCCTGCTACATCAACAGCAAGATATACAATTCAGTAGCCTACATAATGGGCTACGTAGCATTGACTATACATGTACTCCTCTTTCTCTTTTTTTCCGCTCTGAACCGGTACTCCTCTAGCTGAATGACTTGGCATGCTATATGTCTATTGAGCCAATTTCTACTCTTTTCAGCCGCCTCTAAAGCCTGGTAGAGGCTACAGCATCCCCACAAAGAGACCCATGTGTTTCATCTAAAACCTATGTTTACCGCCACTCTCCATGAAAGAAACTGCAGCCACTGAAAATGGAAAATGCACAGGCTAAGCCAGACCTAATCAGGGGGTTTGAGTCTCACACAAAACATTGAAGTAATTAGCATTATTCTCAGACAAAAAGTCTACATAGTTCGACACTTGATAACCTGCTTGGCGGTTGTAAT